CATCAAAATCAGCAAATAATTTTACCAGCCGCGGAAAATGTAGCCGCTGACGTGTTGTCAATTGGCTCATATTTTGATTGAATAGATTTTATTTGATTGGCTCCTGTCAGTTTTCACATCAGCGGCTATTTTTTCGCGTGGCTGGTAAAGCTTTTATGCGGCTTAAAACCTAAAAATAACTACAGCCAGCGCCTAATTCTGTTAATAAAATTGGCCTCTCATCTATGCATGATTAACCATTGTTTATGACTGCCATGAGTTCGTATTTGCATTTGTCCGAAACAAAAATAGCGTACATATACCTAATGAAAAACGATCAAGCTTACCAAAAGAATCTGCATCCTGCGTTCTGTTTGGCTGACTCCCGGGCTACGAGGTTGGTAGTCAAAATGGGCTGTGTTCCGCTTTACTTTTTCACCGTTTCACTGGCTTACGCACTTAAAAACAAACTATCCTCTTGGGATATCACTAAACCGCCTCACTGGCGGTACGTTTTAGCACTCCATTTTCACCAAAAACCTCCCTTTTCGGCACCACTGGCTGGGACGTTCGCGCGTCCTCACTGGTCCCGCCTCACCAGGTGAGATACTACTCCGTATCTCGCTCGCAAGTGCCGCCGCGCCGCCGAGCTCTCGAGTGAGCCGGGTGTTCCGTGTGCTGCCGGTGAACCCAGTCGGGCGCAGCGCGCTCTGCCTGGTATATATAGGCGACCGCTCCCGGCGCGGTGCCCCCCGCCGATCCCCGGCCGTTCTGGTTAGCTCTGCGCGCTGCCGGTAGTTGGTCAGCTCCGCGCGGTGTCGTGTGGTCGCAGGGGGCAGAGGCCGAGCCCGGTTCACACGGGGCGGCGAGGGAGCACTGCGGCTCGTGGGCAGAGCTGTAGACCTCGTGGATGGACAGGTGGATGGGTTTTCCTCGGTCATCGAGGACAATGGACAAATGACTTCATCAGTAGCTGACGGTTGTTTCCCGCGAGATGACGAAAGCGGTCGCGCTGAATCATGCATAAAGATGTATAATAGATAAAGATGCAACAACTTATTATAAAATCATTCTTCAAAAAGTCATCGCAGAAACAATTGGTTGTATTTACCTCTACGTATTCGTAAGTCTTCTTCTCACAGATGACGTCTTATGAAAATCTATTCATCCCATTAAACAGAGTGATCGTATGTACCACGTTCTCCAGAGTTTAGCTGATGTACACGCGCTCCAGCTTGGACAGAGCTTCAGTATAATTGCCGGCCGTTCTAATAACTCGTCAACTGTGCTTATGTGCTTGTGCATGGATCTAGGATGGGAAGATATGGCGGGTCCGTGTTGGAGATACTATCTCTGCACAGTGCACACGCTTTGCACATAAAAAGGAAATTAAATGATATTTTTTCTAGTATTTTGCACAAGTCTCAGCATAAACCACTCATTACCGTGTAGCACGCCTAACTATGTAATGACAAACGCTTTCCAAGAGGTCTACTATAGCTACTTCTGTGACCGAAGGATATTAATGCTGGGTGAGGACATCACATCGAGCTGGTGGGAGTTCCACTTCAAGTGCTATCAAGTGACGTAGTTGCCTGGTTTTATTTGCGCTTATAATGCATTTCACTGTTTTCGCTCCGATCACTCCGAACCTACTAATTGGCTATACAAAAAAAAACATTTTACATATGTTCTTAGTAGTTATATGTGGGAACTGGAAATTACTCGGATCTCTACCTAATTAATTTGAGTACTCCCATTGGCCATTTTATCAAAAGACATAAAACATATTGAATGTAAACATTGTCGGGGAAAATTCCTTATGTCGCAACCAATGCAATTCAGACAAAGAGCTCGAGTTCAGGGCGTGTCAACGGCCCATGCGTCAGGGGCCAGTGAATGTGGTCTCCAGTGACTCCAGTGATCGGTTTTTGTCGGTTATCTCCCCGATAGAGTGAAGGTTGGTCAGGAATCGGCTACTGCAGGCCGGGAAATCCCATTTGCAGCCGCGACTTTGGCGCATTTCTTCTTAATTATTTGAGTGACACGTTTGCGCTGTGATAGGTTTTGCAACAAAACGGCCGGCCCAAAGTGTTTGTAGTTTTATTTATGGCGTTTAGCAGCATTTGCAGCCATGCCAGTGTTGGTTAGTGTATATCCGAGTCAACGAAAAGATTCCTATGACCATAAATATGTGACGGGCTGAAATGCGCAGAAACCATTTTGCATTTACATAATAGCCGTTTTCTGCAATCGGACTCCAGCCAGTGCGGCCAATCCTTTATACACCATTTAAAAGATTAGGCCGTCGAAATAAATCGCACTGTCGAAATAAAACATGTTATGCCTCGTACTGTTAGGTGGTGCTCGCCGTCAGAAGCGGCGGAACACCTTCAATTAAAAGGGCACTGCCGACTTTTGGTTCCATTCTTTCCATGCAATGCACCCATAGGGCTAACGTTAAAATGGCAAAATCAAGGGGGCCAGTGCCCCGCCCCCCCCCCGTTCCGCCGCCTACGCTCGCCGTTGTTAATTACTGAGAATGTCATAACTCGTAACTACGTGGATTAACAGGTTTAGCTAATAATTGCATGGACCGACGCGGTGGAGTTTCAAGTTGACAGGTATTTGGTTAGTTCGCGACCGAAATCTTTTATTCCCTTGCTATTCCATCCTAGCTTACGAGTCTCGTGTTCATCTCTACGATAGGATTCCCATAGTGGTCACTTTCACGGCTTGATAACGTCATAGGCTAACTAAGCAACGCGCATTAGGGCCGGCACCGGTCAGGGGTTATACTGTGATCCCACACATGCGAGGCTAGTGAAACGGGTCTCGACACACTGCAGGCGTTTGCTGTCCTGTCACGCATGGTGGATGATTTTCTAATCCGAATATATGGGTCACCTTCACTTTCCGCTAAGCGTCTTTTCCGTGTTACCGACCCGTTAGCTGAGTGTAGTCCATTCACCCAGGACATAACACAAAACAAATGCGCACATACCTACATTCACAAAATCCTGAACGCACCTGCACATTGCTCCTCTTATGCCTGCCTTGTGCTTCTTGAATTAAAAGAATATGTGTCAACCTGGTCAATGCTGCTGAGATCACGCTCCACACTAACCCTCGCGGGCCCGGGGGGGGGGGGCGTTTTTCGCCCCCCCTGGCGAATATTTGCGATAACTCACGAACGCTTAGGGATAGGAAGGCGAAACTTTCAGTACCTTTTCTCCCATCAATTTGACATCTTCTGAAGTAAAAAATTTGGACCTAGCCCCCTTGATGACGTCACAAGGTCCATTTTTCTAGACCCCTGCACGGCAAACTTCGGCGTCACAGACGCAAACTTCAAATAGCTGCTAAAAATAGAGTTTTAGAGATAAAGACAAATTGCGAGCACGGCTGTGTAGCGTTTGACCTAGAGAAAAATAGAAAAATAGTTTCGGTGACCTGAGGTCAGAGGTCAGGTCAACGACCCCGAAATGTGGTTTTAGTTTTTCGCAAATAACTTCGACAAAAATGGTCCTAGAGCTACAGCAGTGGTACCATCGCATTCGCCTTGTCAAGCCGCGTCGAATGATATATATTTTGTTCGGAAAAGGTCAAGTTTCATGTTGACCTCATGTGACCTCGAATGACCTCTGGTTGACCTTGACACATGAAAGGTCGTTTATGATGGATTTGTACCCGCTGATCACGAATCTGGCATCTATTTTCCTCTAAGCCTTCATTTAGAGCTTCCGGATGGCAAAATTGTCTTATTTATTATTACTAACTTGAATCAGTGAAATAGCCCCTAGCAGGGATACTCTTCTGTGACCTTGACCTTTGAGCAGCCTTGTATCGTAAGATGAACCACAAATAGGGAATTGATAAGCCTCAAAACATTTCAAAACATCTTGGAAGTTAGCACGCAAGATGTGCGAAAAAGTGCCAAGTTTGAGGTCAACTTTGAGCGTGACCTTGACCTTGACCTTTGATTTGGAGCACATTTTCAGAATCCTCAGATTCTCTTCTTTCGTTTGACACCCAATTTTGCCGGTTTGATGCATCCTGCCGTCCTCTAGAATGCTTACTTTGAGATCACTACACATGTGCCGGTTTTGGCCTTTGACCTTGACCTCTGACCTTGAAAATTGACCTGAGGTAAAAAATTTTGGGTGCATTAGAATCGTCTCGTAAGGACCTTTCGTTTGGTATCGCTTTTGTTTCCGTAGCTCCCTTATTTACGGAGTTAGACAGGGGGGGGGGGGGCGAAAAACGCCCCCCCGGGCTGCGGTGGTTGGGATTACCCCCGGGCCCGGCCGGGCTAAGCCGCTTCAGGCCGCCCCCGCATGTCACGCGATACGTGAGAGGACACGGCGGTAGCCTGACCGCACGCTTTACCCCACCACAGATCAGGCTACCGTGTGCTGGTTCGTAGATGAAGGTGACCGAAGCGTTGTACGGATAAATAAGTACTCAGAAATGGCGACAGGAGAGATAAAGCTGAGGAGGCCGGTAAGGGTGGAGAGAGAGAGAGAGAGAGAGAGAGAGAGAGAGAGAGAGAGAGAGAGAGAGAGAGAGAGAGAGAGAGAGAGAGAGAGAGAGAGAGAGAGAGAGAGAGAGAGAGAGAGAGAGAGAGAGAAAGAGAGAGAGAGAGAGGGAGGGAGAGAGAGGGAGGGAGGAGAGAGGGGAGAGAGGGGAGAGAGAGATGGAGAGGGAGAGAGAGAGAGAGAGAGAGAGAGAGAGAGAGAGAGAGAGAGAGAGAGGGAGAGAGAGAGAGAGAGAGAGAGAGAGAGAGAGAGAGAGAGAGAGAGAGAGAGAGAGAGAGAGAGAGAGAGAGAGAGAGAGAGAGAGAGAGAGAGAGGGAGAAGAGTGGCTGCACGTGAGCTTATAGCTCAGATGCGTGACTAGATATTTGGGGCTGCAGGAACTTGCTATTTTCGGAGAGATTGAGTTTAGGTACGATCACAGGCGGCGGAAAGTTGGTGCCGTTTATAGATTCTCCTCGCCACCAGACTTCCAAAACATACGGCTGGATCCGCCAATGGCAATGTGTATTATTACAGATGTAACATCGTCTCCCTTGCAGAAATGAGCTGACAACTACAGTTCTACACATTTGGCGTATCCAAATCCAAGAATGCAATGACAATGCGACACACCCACATCAAGTGACATTTATGCGGCACAACATAACATAAGAACACAAATTCACCTTCTTAGCTGAACTCAGGGCCGAGTTACGCGCAGGTACAACGCCAAAGAACACAGACAAAATAGCGACCCAGCCTTCCTAAAAACAACGTATATTCGAGCCAAACAAAGTCAAGACCACACGAGCCTCGTAAACGCCATACAAAGTATTTGTACTGGTCGGAAGGGGAGCGCCGGCTTGCAAGTTCTTCACAAGTCAGTCGTATATTTACTACCATGTAAGGCGCAAACGAATGCAGAAATGCGTGATGCATGTACGAGTAGCTTTGCTCTGTGAGAAACAAACGGATCTCTGATGCCGGAGAAAGCTCAAGGAATGCCGGCTGTCCTGATCAGCTTAGCGAGGCACTGGCGACCAGAGTTGCCTTCAGAACCGCCGTATTCACTACGGCTCTGGAGATAAAAGCCTTCAAAGGCACATTCTCTTGGCTTTTTGCTAGAGATGTCTTCTGATACATATTCACTAGGGCTGGGGTGAGAGATGCCTACAGTGACACATTCACTACGACTCTGACGAGAGATGTCTTCAGTGACATCACTACGTTCAACGACTGGCATCTTACTCTCTTGAGCAGTGTGCTGCTCTGCCATCAGTGCCTCTCGCATGTGAATACGCATATGCTTAGTCAAAGTCCGCCTCGCAGTAAAACGCTTATCGCAAGAACAGCACACAAAGCGCCTCTCGGTGATGTGGCGTGTGCGATGAGCGTACAGGCGTTTGGCAAGCGTAAATCCCCTGCCGCATACCTCACAGAGGTACGGGTTCACGACCCCGTGCAGCAAGGCATGCTGCTCGAGGCTATCCCGGTCGTGGAAGGTATCACCACACTCTGGACAGTCCCAGCGGCCGTCATGCTGTAGGATGTGCCTCTTCAGCGACCTCGTGCGCTCAAACACCTCGCCGCAGACGCCACAGGCCCATGGGCGTCGCCCTCCGACGTGTCCCAGCGCGTGGTAGACGAGCAGCGACCGCTCGGTGAACGGAATCCCACACACCACACACCCGAACAGCGCCACCACGCCGTGACCGCGCGCGTGGCGCACCAGGAGCGCCTGACTGAGGAGCCGCGCGCCGCACACTGGGCACTCGTAACGTCCCGACGGGTCGACGCCGGTGGTGGGTGGTCCCCGAGAAGAGGTCGGGCTGTCTCCGACGACAGGGAGGGAGTGGGTGGCGGGCGTTTCTTCTGCTGCCAGTGTCTTGTCGGCACCAACAGCCGCTGACGAAATGGTGCTCTCTTCAGGGATGTCCGAATGGAGCAGCTGTTGTCTGGAGGAGGGCTCAAGTGGCTCAGACTGGGACAAGTCGATGGTCACGGTGCTGAGAGGAGATGGATGTGCCACCGTGACGTCAATTGGTCCTACCGGGGTCGGAGCTCCAAGATCAGACACTTGTCCATCAGCTGCTCCAGCGGGATAGCTCGCCCGTCCATTTATGGTTGCCCCGGGATTCTGCCTCCCTTCGACGGCCACTGTTCGAGGGTTATCCCACTGCTTAGCGGTTGCTGTTTCAGCCCCCAACAGATGTTCACCAATCCTTGTTACAGGCTCATACCCCCGATAAGCAGTCGCTCTTCTAGGATAATATGTCTCTCTAGCAATGGCTACTCCCAGATCATACCACTGCGTAGAAGTCACTGGCCCAGGAAGATACGTCTGTTCATCAACGCCTGCCGAAGGATCATGCGTGAACCCTGCAGCGGCTGCCAAAGGTTCATACCATTGCCCAGAAGCCACTGTTTGAGGACAAAGCGTCTGTTCAGCAATATCTGCCGAAGGGTCATGCGACTGATCAACATCGCTGACTGCAGGACCATGCAACGGACCAGCAGTGACATCGCCATGAGCATTGCACGTTTGCTCACCAGCGGTTACTCCAGGGTTGCAGGACTGTTCAGCAGTGACTGCTGGGAGCTCATGCCACTGCCCAGCTACGGCTTCTCTGGAAAGGTGACTCGCCTGTTCAGCCGTGGCTGCTTCAAGATAGCACGTCTGCTCCACAAAGGCTGCTGCAAGCTCATACCACGGCCCGGCAGTGGTTTCTTCAGCAGTGGTTTCTCCAGTAGCAAAACACCTCTGCTCAGGGGTGGTTGCTGCCGGCTCAAACCACGGCCCAGCAGTGGTTCCTCCCGGATCGCGCGCCTCCCTAGTGGAGTCGGAAGCCGGACCAAGTTGACCAGCATCGCTCTCCTGAAGGAGTCCAGCCAGCCGGGCGTGGGTCCGTCGTTCCTGGCCGATGCCGGTGGCCGGAGCCTCCGGTCTCGGACGGTCGTCATATCGCCCGGGCGACTCCCGTAGCGCGCATTGCCAGAAAGTGTCGCAATGGCTGTCAGCTTCTGTGGCGGAGAAACAAAATCCTTTCAACTGATTGATCGGTAGCTATGTTTAGTCGAGCTGATGGTCAATACTTAATCTTAGCCAGTCGCCCGTATAGGGCGGGGGCGAACGGACCCCCTCGGTTTTTCGCGAATAAGTCGCGTAAAAAGCGGCCGATCGCGACGAATCTTTCAGTACCCTCGAGTTGATCAATTCGACACCTACCCTGAAAATTTCATGACCCTGACCCAAATGACCTTTGACCTGTGACGTACTTTTTGAGACCATATTTGGCCGGAATCGTGATTCTACGTATGTCGGCTTGCATTAGCCGCGCATTTGCAAACTTTTCGTGTTTTCAAGCGTTCAAACATGCGATATGATGTTGGTCCCATGCATTAGGGTGGGTTTCAAGGTCACCTGAAACTCAAGTCAGTTCATGGGCCTGTTATGACCTCGGTTCACTTTTTCGAGTTTTACATGTTTCTAGGCTAGTTTTTGGAGCTGAATTGGAATTTAGCAACCATTTGAACATTTACGAAGTAGTTTTGGTGCCTCCTTGATATGTTACGAAGCTGTTAGAGGCGAATGACACCTACTACAAATACCCGGCAGGACCCCTACTGGTTGAACTGACATGACCCGACCTGGTCTAAATGCATGAAGACATCATCTATGATCAAAACTAAAATAATATTCACGATCAGCACCCCGAAAAAAGCATAGCAGTCACACTCGTCACGAGCAACACGCTCGTTTTTTCCGCGAAGCTCTAGCTTAATCAGGGGCGAAACGGCAAGGGGGTCCAACGGACCCTCCCCTTGTACAATCGCGGCTGGCAAAACACTAATACGGGCGAGGGTTAAAATACCTAACCGATTTCAACTGGATTTTGTGCGTAACAAGAATTGCGCTGTAGGTATTCGAGCTTCATTATGCTCGACTGGAGACAGATAGCAAGTCTTTTTTCCTGTTCGAACTGTATGGCTGCCTTTGCATAATGGCTGAGCACGAATATCGTTAAAACAATGGAGCTAATTCAAGATTACCGGATGACGATCGGTATTAGTTCCCAAATGACAACCGTAAGCATGCTCGTGTGTTTCAAAGGATGCCATTTGCTTGGATCATATCGATTGGAAAATTTCATTTTAGGCAACCTTTAAATTTGAACGGTTATCTTCAAAGGAGCCAGCACCGGGTTAAGTTTACGTACGGCGTTACGAATCCTACCTATCGTGCTCTCTGTTTTCACCCATGCTTTATTTGTACTTATAACGCAGTGTAATTAGGTAGATACTCACCTGAAAGTGTATCTTCCACCCAAAGAGGAGCCGGGCAGGTCTTGATGACCCTCTCACTCCTTATCAGCTGGGCGTCATCCATTTTGGACTGCAAAGATAGGCAGTTTATGTATATGCCTGCAACGGGCCCTGGTATTAACTGGATTATTTGCCAACTGGCGCCGTATGTTGGCGCTAGCAGAGCTTCCTTCATATCAATGCTAAATATATAAAAGAATAAATATTTACCGATCAATTTTACATTTAAAGCCATTTGAAATATTTATGTCCATCCTACTACCTCGCTTATACCTATATTCAAATACCTATCGTACGTCGCAGCTGGCCAGCCAGCTGACGCAATCCAGTTTTTACCGAAGCCCCCTGCAACTCAGTCGGCGAACAACTCCGAGTGCCCAGATAGCTAATGATTTTCTTGCACGGTGCACAATGCGCATGTGTATTTTTATCTTAAAATGATACCGTACCGTGGATGTAATAAATGAGAGAGAAAAACAAAAAAATATGGGTAAATCGCAATAAATGGAACGCTGAACTTGTAATCAATATTGAGCCGCAATATGCTATCAAACATCAGCCATCATTCAACTGTCAGCGAGTGTCGATGCAACTACAATTTTTAGAAGTGCAGAGACCAGCCCCCCGCTCTCACTAACCTGTTTACAGTCCAGTCCGCCTGCTCTCGATCGTGTCATTGGCACCCAACTCCCTCCTGTCACCGTCCCGGGCCGGCTGGCCGCCGGACACCGCCCGAGGCTACGACCCGCTCAAGGTCACAGCTCAGTCAGCTGTTGCGGCGCCCCGTCTCTGGTCAGGCCTCGCTCCCGGTGCGGCCGGTGCGGCCGGTCTGGGACCGACTGTGCCTGGGCCGGCGGGAGGGTATCATATTTTTTGTTTTTGCAGCAGAACGAAGCAAAACTTCGCAAATGGCTTCGTCGTCGGCACTCCCGAAAAAAACTCAACTAACGAACAGAGACAGATAATTCATATGATCGTTTGTTACAGGAGAATAAGGAAGTGGCATATAAAATTTGGCCCCTTTGCTGAATTGCTGAATAACGGCGCGAGCTGTAAAAATTTGAACAGTGAAATAAAGTAATAATAAAAATAAAAAAGTATTATTCGTGACGCCGTATTTTGTGTGATTGCTTTGTATTATCACTCATGGCGAATTTATCCACAGTAACGACAACATAAACAAAAATACCCACACTTATCCGATGCATAAAAATGTCCACTATTCGCGATACATATTGCCAAATCAACAGTTCACACAACATGTACGTATAATAATGATTCCAATGTCATTGAGTCATAAAATGCATTCACAAACTCGTTCGATACTGAGCATGTCAGGCGGAATGACTGCTTTTCCGGGCAGTTTCAAACGTGCATAAAAGGTGATCGTTTCACTCGTTTTCCTTGTTATTAATGTGCTTCGCTGCCTTCGAATCAAGTAATATCGTGTCAGTTATGAGGTAAACGCAGCCACCTGATTACGATGACTATATAGGCATCAATCAGTCAGAAGGCACGCATCTTGCAAACTTCTCACCGGTGGCACTCGTGCACACGGCAGCACGGCATATCTCACAGGACGCGGCGCTGCCCCCTTCCCCTCCCTCCCCCCCCCCCCCCAACACACAGGCCAGCGCACACCACCCAATAGGTAATTCATAACGGCAGCATACCTACATTACCTGCACGGCTTGTTGATTCATATCGCTAGCATTTGCTGACTGTAGCAGCCTCGCATATCCCCATCTATGAAATGAGTAAGACACATACATTTTCAAGGCACTCCCGACAAAAAAGAACAGTCACGAACATGACAATGAGTCATGTTCTAAGGCTTATTGACTTTAGATTTGTCATTGTCTGGGACATTTCACCATTGTCCCGGTCTTTGGCTTCTGACTGCATCTCTCGGTATCGTTAGCCAAAAGTCATCATGTCCATTAAGTTTAAAGCTCGTTCTCGAGTTCTCGACATCTCCAGGCTTCAATGCGAACACTGAAGCGGTTTCGCTTCATCACGAAACTGTCTACCCGGTCTAAGATCGGGATATGGTTACGTTCGCTACCATGAAGGTCCGACTAACAAGTCAGAACGCTTCTCACATAGCGGTGACTCATTGTCGGGTTCACGGTTGATACAGCCACACCAGTTCGTAGACGCGACTCCCGCGCCGAGACACGGTCGGAAAGAGTTTCTCTGCCCCCGTGTACGGGTTCATCTCGCTATGGAACAGCCGGAATCCCATGGCCTCCAGTCGCTGGAACACGGCGAGGTACTCCCTCCACCTGTCGAGGCCGGCGTTCCTGTCGCGTGGATCATACGCCAGGTGTATCTCCATGCCGATCTGACGCACGTTTTGCAGTAGTTGCGGTGAGCTGGTGAAGATCTGGGTGAACATGTCCCACTCGGCGCCCTCCACGTCCACCTTGAGGTAGTGGACGGTGCGCCGCTGATGACCTAGCATCGACACCACGCTCTGGTAGGTGCGGACGTCCCAGCGTCGCCCCCGCACCTGAATCGTCTCGTCCCGGCCGCCGATGCCGAGGTTGTGGAAGGAGATGTGCTCGGATCTCTTGTGGTCCTTCTGGCCGATGGATGGGTCGAAGGCGTGGATCTCGCACTGCAGTCGCTGCACGTTGTCGTCAAACGACCAGTCGTGGTCGACGCCAAAGCTGTAGATGAGGCAGCTGTTGGTCTGCAGAAGGCCCAGCGCCGGGTCCAGACACACCCACTTGTAGCCGTCAAACTTGCGGTTCTTGTAGTCGGCCTGGCCGCCTATACGCATCGACTTTCCGCACTTTGCATACGGCTTTTCGATGTAGTCAAACACAGCTGACGCCAGCTCTTCCCAGTTCTTGGGTTTGAGTGTTCGCCACTTTGCCCGCGCTTCTTCCGTCCACACTGCCGTTGCTGACGTTTGTGACGCAGGAGATGATTGCCGTGGGGGCGGCGCCGCAGTGGTCCCCAGCAGTAGGTCACGGAGCCGGGTGCTGATCGGGTGCAGGATGGTCACCGTCGGCACCGGACAGTTTGACCTGAAACGGCGAAACAGAGTTGTGAACCCTACCGGCTACCGGCTACATGATCTGTGATCTATTGATCTGTCATCAACTGATCACCGGCCTTATACGTTCATAATTCATACACCATACCGTACCATAAGGCGAAAGCATACACCCACCTTATGTTTTCATGGTTGGTCATGGATCATTTTGCTATTTATTACGGCTTTGAGTACCGTCTTTTGTTTCTTCATGACCATCAAAACTTCATTTATTACGGCTCCCGTCCCGTTTGTTATATTTCGCCCTTTCCAACCCTTTTAGCGCCCAGAAAGAAGTTTATTTTGTGATATGAAACATTCTATTGCAATCACTCAACGCCTTTCTAATGGGAAAACGTGTCCCCTGGGATATTTCTGAAAGAGTTATTCATTGGTTAACTGTGTAATGTGTATGGTGCGGCACACCAATTCCTGAATGATGACGGCTGCTTTACCCAGAAATGACCACCAGCCGGTCTGACAATAGACGACTGACATTATTTGCAAAGGACGTTCGGCCCCTATTCAATATATCCTGGTTCGGCCTCGCGCGCTGCATCTGAATGCCCGCTTTGGGTTCGAACGGTAAACGCCGCGAATAAAACAAAGGCCCACGTCTATGCGTCGACACACAGAGTATCAAAGAAGCACCCGATAGCGTGGGAGGTAAAGTAAAGCGTTCGTTCAATATTATGCTGACAGCGACAACGAGCACGTAACAGCAGTTCAGGCTGACGGCGGTCAGGTGTCAAGTCAGCACGCGCAACTCACTCAAACGTGAACATCAGACACATGACGTTTTTAGAGCACACGTCACATGAAGTCTGAAGATTTCTACCCCTGTCACCCTAATGCATTGCCTAAATCACCCCCACTTATCTGCGCCGCCTCGGCTGGCACCTCGCCTCGGTTCGGCTATCCTCGCTAAATGGCACTCTCTGACCTTTGACCAACCACCCGTCCCACGGGCCCCCATCAGCCGTTTCGTAATGCGTTATCAGAAATAACGGTTAGTGTGGAGATAGTGCGGGAAATTGTCCCCTTACAGTTCGGCAAGTGTCCGGGAAATGTCCTAACGGGCGCGGGTTAAAAAGGTTGGATAACAATAAAAAGATAACGATAAACGATTCTTAGCTCCAGCCACAACTAAGCACAGCCTCTCCATCACTACATGTGCATCGAAAATGCTGGAACTGCTGATTCTCGACGAGCTGATGTCGTCTGTCGAGCCGCACGACCTCCAGTTCGGGTTTATACCCAGCCGCGGATCTGCACAAGCGTCGCTCCTGGCTAGTGAGACAGTGCAGCACCAGCGCAGGAAGGGGCTACCGGTATTCGCAGCCAACCTTGATGCGCGTAAGTGTTTTGATCGCATCTGGCACGACGGTTTATTCTTCAGACTGGAACGGTATTTGAGCGTCAATTACTGGCTGTTAATCGTTGATTGGTATCATCGCCTTTCTGCTCACGTCATTTTGGAAGGCATTGCCTCTGAGCAGTTCAAAATTCATCGGGGCACGCGACAGGGAGCAATATTATCTCCAATGTTCACGAACATTTTCCTGTGTCCTCTTCTGCGAGCGTTAGACAGCAGCGGACGTGGTGCCACGCTGTACTCTAAGCATGTTCCTGCAGTATGCTATGCAGACGACCTTCTACTTTTATCCACCAACGTCAAGCACCTCCAAAGTCTTCTGCATCTAGTTGAATGTTACGCGAACATGTGGCGTCTAGAGTTTGTACATCACCAGCCGTCTAAAACTAAGAGCCATTGCATCATATTCGGCAGCGAGCTCTTAGCTCAAGTACCCAACTGGACTTTATCTGGTCAGACACTTCAGGTGCGCCCTCAGTCGGAGCACCTCGGAATCATCCTTGATTCGAAGCTATCTGCTGCGCCACACGTAACACAGCGTATCAAGCGGGCACGAGGTGCATTCTTCGGACTAACGCCAGTAGGAATGCTTACAAACCGTCTCTCGCCGTGGGATAAGATTTACCTATGGAAAACTATTGTATTGCCGACATTGACCTTCGGATGTGAAGTGTCACCCCTTACGTGTTCTGAGGTAGAGCACCTTGACTCATTCCAGGCAGCTAGCATCAAAGCTGCTGTGGGACTTCCTAAAACTTCACATCATACAGCGCTGCTAATTGCGTTAAAAGTCCCTCCCATTCACGAGATGCTCCGAGGCTCGGCCTTACGGTGCTTCGGTGCAGCCTTTCGCTCGTCCCACCGGCTACGCCAGGCGTACATAGCGGCACTGGCACAACTTGCCATTGATCCGAGCGTTGTCACTGGCTCATTCTTGTACCATGTTTATGCGTTGTGCAATACCGAATTTGACGCAGTTATGTATTGTGCTGGTGGCGTATTTGAAAGAGAGCGTGTCCATGCACCTGTCCCCCAGAGCGGACTGGTTGACAGCATCAGCTCGCTTCTGGCTGTGCCTCAATGTCAGGCCACCAGGCGCCTCATCCGGCTGCTAACCTCTGTATGATACTGTCTGTCATTTCTCTGATTGTTGTTGATCATCTCAACTGAATACTGATCCAGTTTTTTGTGTTTGTTGTGAAACATTGTTTCAATGGTATTTTTGCATTGTCACTTTGTGATGCTCAATAAAGATTGATTGATTGATTGATTGACAACATCGGCTGGCCCACCAATCACTCATTTAGGACCGCTAAATCAAAACACCGACAAGTTGAGTGTAAAATGCATCGGGAATCAAGAGGCTTCAGGTCTGCAACCTACTTCAAAATAGTTGTTTTTTTTTAGGAAAAGATTTTATGCGGTTTTAAATGTAGTTACCCATATTTATCGATCACAAATTATTGCATCGGAATCAAATCACTCACACAGCTAGGAGACAGTCGAATTTTGAAGACAGGATGCCCATCCTGTAGAGCTTGCTTTATGCTAATTACAACTTAGGTACGATGTGTAGCATATGTCATTCTGTTAATGGCTCAGCAGAATGACCTGTCCTAGTCCAGTCCCCAAACATGAAGTATAGTGTACAGTACCTACACCGTTTTAACGATCCAGCCGCTCCGCACTGATTATTCGCTTGGTTTCCCGTCGAATTATATTGAACGTCATACCGTAGTAAACTTAAAACTCATTACCTATATGGGGGGCCGGGGGCTAATCAATATAAACGTCCACAGCTTGCACTGGCGGTGACTTTTGACATATACCTAAATGGGCGTATGACGATGGATGGTCAACGACCATTCATGCCACATGTCGACCTGCAGGGTGGATAATGACGGTCCATGACGGCCACTGCCGCCTTCAGTCGACTATGCGAGTCGTTCGCTGAAGGGAGCAATTGTTGTTTGCTTTTGTTTGACGCATGGGGCCTACTAGCTACAATCATGTGAACGATTACGGCTCATAATAGGTATTTTGTTATGCGATGGGCATGGGTGGAGAACCTGCCCCGGCCACCCCGGCCGTGGCCGGGGTAACTTTCAGCCGACCCCGGCGTGGCCGGGGTAACTTTTTCCACTTCTGTAAATCCTAAAAATGTCTCCATACGAAAAAATGCCATCTATAAAAGCGTCTCTCATTATTGTTATCTACCTTGAAAAGTTCTTGAAAATTTACTTTATTTTCATTTTGGAGCTTCTATGTTTTTAAGTCTTTTCATCGCGGAGCCCGACATGTTTCATCAAACAGAAGTAAATCATTTTTAAGGGCCGTTGTCGTAAGATGGCACTGTAATAACATCACAAGACAGGACGAGGGTACCTAATATCAGTGAGATAGAAGGATGAGCTGCTGGGGCTCAAGGCTCCCCCAACTTAACCCGCGCCAGGGTGGTGGCCTTATCGTAACACGTTGAGTCGAGAGGTGGTCTTTTCACGCTCCTTCTAACTCGGCTCCTGGGCTACGAGGCGAGAAGCGGAACGACGTTTGAAAGAGCGACAAACGTGATCAGAGAAATCTGGGCCTCGTTTCATAAAGCGAGTCCGTAACTTACGCGGGTTTTTGGTCTTGTATTGCAAGTGCATGTGAAGCGATGACGATAGTTTGAATCGATGAATTTATTTATCTTGCAAGCAAGAACAGAAGAGAGAAGGGAAAATAAATTTATCGCTTCACGTGCGCTTGCAATACAAGCCCAAAAACCGGCGTAAGTTACGGACTCGCTTTATGAAACGAGGCCCTGGTCATGTTTTAGGCAAGCTCAATAATAAAATCACCATAGATCATCAAAAGCCAAATTTCTCTGATTTTAGCGTTCTCCGACAACTTTTCTCACAGTTCATGAGCATAACGGAGCTTAAACACTGCAAACAAAACATTCGATTACTCGTTTAAGGCTCGGTCGCGAATAATATTTCAGGTGCGAGCTCAAATCAATAAGAGGGTCAAAACGGTCAAATTTGACATTTTGTTTTGTGTGGGAAGGTTGCAACTTCCACGGAATAAGCTTTGCAAAGGGCATGATGGCATTTTTAGCACGATCATCCATCAAATTTGACCTGATGACCTGACCTAGCACTGGGTGACATGCGTCCGAAATTTTAAGGCGTGTTGCAAAATTGTTGTTACAATTACGAAATCTTCCGCACCTGCGTGCAGCAGTTTTCCCTAAAAACGTAGGTACAAACGGCAGACAGACATCCATTATTCTATGCCACAGAATAGGGTTTTTTTGATAACCGTTGACAAATATTTGAGCATCATCGTCTTTCTGACTTTCGGTCGCCGGCCGGGGTAACTTTTTCAAACATTCTCCACCCGTGGCGATGGGTATGAAAAAATCAATCCCGTAGCCATTGAACCTCTGCATACCGAGTTATATACATAGTTCGGAGACATACAAGGTCTGTGACTTATAGCTTATGTGTTTTTCCAGTGTGTTGGCTGTCAGAAGCAAGTATGTTGGATACCGTTTCGCCGCACGTTATGGATGTGAATATGACCGGCACGGATGCGCTAACTCACCCGTTACACTGGGCCGTCGGTGACGTCTTCATGGTCGAGTAGATCACGAACAGACCTTGTAGTATCAGCAGGAGGAGCAGGACAGCCAGCTTGCGACGGTTCTGCAGAACGGCCCCCGCGAGGAACCCGCAACCTGAGAGACAAGTCATAACCAAAAACGCGATTTAACTTACTTGAAAGTACGGAATAACATTGATTTACCATTTGTACTTAAAACAAACGTCAGGGACAGAACCGATAATGAACTGATATCGTTCGACAGAAAAATTACTAACAGTTATTGATGCCTCCGATTTTCCGTCTGGTCCCAGTGGATGCATAAAAATGCCGCGAGTGTTGTGGACCCAAGTGTTGACCTTAAAAATGTTTTTAGGTCAAAGGTATCAGCCGTGCATAGCTACAGGGACGGAACGTTCGACAATTGTCAAAGAATCCTCGTTCTGGCTGGTGGAGTGTTCGAATGAATCCGAGGGCTTTGCCTTCCGTCGGTCGCCGCGGTCAAGGGCCGTGGTCGATACATGTCAGATGTGCCGGGTAGTGGGTAGTGGGTATGGGGCTGGGCACGGGGTACCTAACAACATGTTCGCCTGACCCGAGGAAAGCAGGTAATCTTTTGCCGATTGTCAATAAAACGGGCATCCATAAAAGAAGGAAGCATGGTGTATTAGGAGCTCCTGATGGTTTGAATGGATTGGATATTTGCGTGACAGATAGCTAGGATGAGGTATTTGGTGGCTTGTAATTACGATAATAAAGAAGCAGGTATTACGTTTTTATTATGACATATGTATCGTCCTCCGATATCAATGTGCTCGGTGCCGTGGAAAATGCTAATAGATCCCGATTGGGGTCACAAGGATGCATTTACCTATAATATTTTAGTGCACCCGGCTACGTCCGCCATTAGTGCGGTTCATTTAGCTAGAATTATGACTCTTGTGGGCCACTCCGAAACTACTGACATCTCGCTTAGCGAGAGAAAAGAGCTTGTAATAAATTAATCTAAAATTCTCGTTTGCAATGCCCCATCTCTTTTCAGCACGCTGACCTACTTACCTGAGCTGGACATTGCATTGGCGTACGTTGACCTTTAGAGCTTCACTTGCCGGTGCAAATCGATCAGAATACCTAAAAATGCCATGATTCTATTATTGGTTCAAAGTTTTCTCGTTTCAACATAACCTGGATCTTAGATGGTACGGACGAACAGCTTGGCTTCCATTCATGCTCTTGTGTCTAGTGCTTGTTGGCCCATTTTCCGTCTAACTCACTGGCTCTGGGACCATAGCTTCTCGAGGTGAGGCGATTACACCGGGTTTTCACGTGTTCTCATGATCCATCTCAGCACGAGCGTATCACAGAGCGATTCAACTAAAAGATTCGTGTATCTCTTGGAGGAAGCCGAATCTCTATCGGTAGCAGAGACGGGAGCAGCAGGAGCAGCAGCTGTCGGTGCGGGAGCTGCAGCGGTCGGCGCGGGAGCTGCAGCGGTCGGCGCGGGAGCTGCAGCGGTCGGGACGGGAGCAGCAGCAGCGCGAGGGAGCTCCGGCCCTGACACACCCTCGCCGGCGGCACTGTGGGTCAACTGGCGCCGACGGACCGTCAGCCCTCCGACGATGCTGTGCGCAACTCGCACGCCACTCCAACGCCCAGATTTGGTCCACGTCGCTCGGAACTGTCTCGGAAACCTCCACGCGTCCCTCATTCGTCGGCCGCGTTGAGCTGTGCCTGCCTCGAAATATGGACTTCCCTCAAAACAGATGTGTCAACAGCGGGTCAGCACCCAGCGCCGTCCAACATCAGGTCCGTCAATCAGCACCGTTTGTGCGTGTGTGTTTGTTTAAGTCGCTGCAGTCGGACCGTGTAAAGACGCTGAAAAGCATATGAAATAGCGCATAGCATTGTATAATATGCCATTCCGTGTCCTTTTTAACGCGTGAACAAAATGGATGCGCCTTCTAAGTTAATAACAAGCGCCAACTGACGTAAAATATTGCTCCATTGCGCAAATAAGACCGACAACGCTACGGATGCAATCTGTCTCCATAAAGGTCAGCTATGTCATGGGATAATGTTGCCGTTAATATTCCATAATCGCTGTATTCTTCATTTGAAGAAGCGAGGGAACTTAAGCGCAAAATGAAATAATTTTTTAATATGCTTTGCAACGGTGGAATGCTGTAGTGCATACCTGGGCCCGGCCCCACACCACGAACACCAAAATATTTGAAGCTTTTGTCCCTAGCAGTCACGTCGTACGCAACGATATTGCACATCTCGATCGCGTGAACAATGTACCTATTGCATAATACAGACCGAGACGTTGATTCCGTATAGAGTAAAGCCGATGTACCGATGCATCATCTATGGTAAAAGAAAACGTACAAGAAACACAAGTTTACATTATATATTCATTCACTTTCGAATATAGATAATGCGAAAACGGCACAATCCAATAAACAATGCCCCGTCTTTCGTGACAGGCCGTTAAGAACCCCACATCGATTCCACGACTATTATCCAACAGTCACAGAGCTGACTCCACCGAAACTCAATGGACAGTGGGCGTGCACTGTGCAGTGTGCACATCCAATGCACATTGGCCATCGCATGTTCCCTGTTCATTCTGCATAACTGCCGCCGCCGGGCGCCAGCCTCGCTGATCGATACGGTCCGCTGGACATTTGTACACGTTACACTGCGAGTCGGGCACGTAATTGACAGAGTGCCGCGCCCGCGTGCCACCGCCTCCGGGCGACCCGGGCGAGCTGGGGCGGAGTCGATTGCAGCCCGCGCCGGGCCGGCACCGTTGCCACGAGGCCGTGTGTTAGGCTGGCGTTGCCCCGGCCTGTCGTGTTGTAACATCCGTCGGTCCCACGAACGGACGCACGATACACTATATTCACATCCCGCTCTCACTGCCACTGCGATCGGCGTCACCGTCCGACTCCGAGTCCTCCTCCGACTCTGACTCTAACTCCGAGTCTGTCTCTACCTCCACCGGAGGCCGGTTCGGGTTCCCCTCCTCCAGGTCCAGATTTTGCAACTCATCGGCCGCCTCGTCTGCCGCCGTCGAGCCTACCTCATCGAACCTCTCTGGCCAGGCGCCTGCGCTGCGCAGCTCGGCCACGTGCTCCCGCGACAGCACTCTCACCACCTCTGCCCGCACCTTGTCGCCCTCGGCAATCGGCTCGAGGATCAGAAAGGTGCCGCGACGCACCCAGATGTTGCGCCGGAACTTGTTGGGCATGCTGACCAAGTAGACCTCCCCGTTGGCGTCCTCCACCTGGTGCAGGTTGTTGCCGCGGGTCTCCAGCAGGCGGGCGATGGTCTGGTCACCGCTAGGCGGCGCCACCTCCGACATGTGCTCCTGGTACACGTACTTGCGCTTGGTCTTGGATGACATGGTGCTGGACACAACTGAAAACATATATGATGTTAGATAAGGTCATATCAATAGCATATCACGATTTGGGGACAGGGTGGCACATTATTGCGGTTGAATATTATAACTGGTTGGTACCACTGACATGGTTTGTAACATTCCCTTCTGCCAGTAAATAACAATGCAGACTGTGAATGAGCCATAAAACAGTCCTTTTTTAGGTGCAAAAGCCAGAGCCATCACAAAGTACTAAGTTAGTAAGGACTCAGGAGCATGAAAGTAGCATAAGTGGTGGTCTGAGGATCACTTTTGAAGTTCTACCATATAGGTAGATGTTTCTTAGCATTCAGGACACAAGTTGAAATGACACAGCCACAGGTTTGTAGCTAACGTAATACAAGGATAAAAAAATATTCGATGATAAGGTTGCCTAAAAAGTAAAATGCCAAATTAATTGTATAACCTTGAGGCCAAAGTCAAGATGGCAATACGGCTTGAACCAGTTTGAATTGGTTCCAATACATGAGCACAGAGCAGCTGATGCAATTCCGTTCCGTTTTGCAATTGATGCCAAAGATGCCAAGTGTTGGGTGTTAATTTGCAGCTTGCGTTTGATTTACCTATGCTCTGATGTTTTCAATTGAGTTCAGTCAATTAGGTATGTCACAGCTTGAGCTAAGACATGGACACAGACAATATCAAGGGACAAGTACTTTATGCAGAGATTAGGCAATAGTCAGCTCAGTTGCATAAAAAAATGCCTATGAAACTTTTGCACTTACAGTACTGGCCTGTACTGATAGAAATGAAGCTGCGTTAGCCTTCCCGGTCTGGGAAAAGTCGCTAGATTCGTCAGGTCTAGAGATATTTCTGCCAAGTCGCTATACAGGGTGATCCAAAAAAATTGGAACCCCTAACTTAAAATGTCTGTAACTCCGAAAGTTTTCACTTTATTGACAAATTGCAAACACCATTAGAAAGAACGTTCAATTTTCTATAACACCAAGTTGATTGTACTTAACTATTACTAAAAATATTATCCTAGACTTATGCCTATAAAATTTGTGTCACGAAACTCGGTGAAACGGATTTGAACATTATGCGCAAATCAGTGATAGAATGTTTGCCGTTCTGACCATGTCGCATGTTAGAGGTTCATGAAAAAATAGCTCATTCACGTGCTATTGTAAGGAAAGGAAAGGCTGACGGCCTGCTGGGACCAGTTGTCCCAGAGTCCGCTGGCCTGCGCAGTCGGAGCCGTCCCCAAGCGGCTGCAGGCCTGCGTGAGGGCCCACGGAGAGCACATGCTAGGATGAAGACTGAAGAGCGGAAGCTAGGATGCGTGTATCTGTTCTACCGTGTGCTTCTGTGTTAACTTTTATGTAATAAAATTGAACTTGGATGTGCTATTATTCGCAAAAAACAACAACAGATAGAGTGTTTTTTGTTTCAGTGCATTGTTAACATTTGGCGATTTCGTTTCACTCAGTTTTCTGACGCTCATTCCAAAAGCTAATAGTGTGCCAATGCTTTACAACATACATGCACCAATTTGACGTGATTTTATAGAAGATTTAATACTCTTTCTAATGGTGTTTGCAATTTGTCAATAAAGTGAATACTTTCGGACTTATAGACATTTTAAGTTAGGGGTTCCAAATTTTTTGGATCACCCTGTATAGGGTAATCACATAGCGGTGATTTAACCCTCGCCCATGTAGGGGGGGGGTTGGTGCAACCCCCCCCCCCCTGAGGTTTTTCGGAAATAGTGCAAAAACGGCGGCGCGCAGCGCCGCCAAATTTTGGGTACCTTATGGGGCAAACCTTGCGCATCTTTTGATAAAAAAAAATTGACCGGGTCATGTCAGGTCACGGAGTTATGACGTCACAAAGGGAACAGCCTCCGGCCGGATTTTCACAAACTGAGTGCCAACGCCCGAGGTTTCCTGCCAGTGGTACGGACATCGGTGGATGGATCGTGATGAAACTTCCTATGCATGTTGGGGCAAGTATTGGCTATCATATGGTATAAGAAACTTGACCGGGTCAGGTCAGGTCACGGAGCTATGACGTCACAAGAGGAACAGCGTCCGGTACTATTTTTGAAAAGCGCCCGAACCACTATTTTGCTAATTCTTGTCACCTCAATGGGAATATGCAGCAATATTAGCTTCTATAGGGAGCAAATGGACCTCCCAAATCCAAAAATACAATCAGATTTCAAAAATTTAAATTTTGATTTTTCGAATTTCTGCCGCCGACTGTGACCTTGCCGACTTCCGGCGCTCCCAACGCGCCATTTTTAGAGCTAGGGAAACGAAATACATACCAAACGATAGAGAATTGATCAAGGAACACATTAGTGAAGGTTTCAAGTCGATATCTCCCATCGTTTTGCCGCAATCGCCGCGGAAAGTTGAAAAAAGTCTATTTTTCCGAAAATTTGACCTTTGACCGGTCAAAAGTAGGTCAAATGTTGACCTAGGACCAAAAAATATACCACCAATCGCGAGATCTCGGCGAGAGCAATCCGTTGGTCTTTTCCGCTAAGCTCTACGACGCTCCGTTTTCAAACGCCAAGGGGGGGGTCGCACCAACCCCCCCCCTGCATGGGCGAAGGTGGCAGATCGCCGTTTACGGGCGAGGGTTAAAAAACGGAGTCAGTTTTTTTCTGAGTTTGCGGGGGGGGGCGTTTGGGGGGATTGCCCCCTTGCCGATAGCTCGGGAACGGCTGATCGTAGCCAGGATTGCAAGGTGGCGTTGGAAAGCGGTCGAGTAAACAAGCCTAATTAGTAATGCAAACTATCATCGGGATACTGGGGGGGGGGGCGTAGGGGGGATTGCCCCCCTTGCCGATAGCTCGGGAACGGCTGATCGGAGCCAGGCTTGCAAGGCGGCGTTGGAAAGCGGTCGAGTAGACAAGCCTAATTAGTAATGCAAACTATCATCGGGATACGGGGGGGGTGTGTGTGTAGGGGGGATTGCCCCCCTTGACGGACGCTTTCCAACGCCGCCTTGCAAGCCTGACCCTGATCAGCCGTTCCCGAGCTATCAGTCAAGGGCAACACCCCCCCCCCCCACACACACACACACACGCCCCCCCCCCCCCAGTATCCCGATGATAGTATGCATTACTAATTAAGTAATTAGGCTTGTCTACTCGAACGCTTTCCAACGCCGCCTTGCAAGCCTGGCTCCGATCAGCCGTTCCCGAGCTATCGGCAAGGGGGGCAATCCCCCCTACGCCCCCCCCCCCAGTATCCCGATGATAGTTTGCATTACTAATTAGGCTTATCTACTCGACCGCTTTCCAACGCCGCCTTGCAAGCCTGGCTCAGATCAGCCGTTCCCGAGCTATCGGCAAGGGGGGCAATCCCCCCTTAGCCCCCCCAGTATCCCGATGATAGTTTGCATAACTAATTAGGCTTGTCTACTCGACCGCTTTCCAACGCCGCCTTGCAAGCCTGGCTCCGATCAGCCGTTCCCGAGCTATCGGCAAGGGGGGCAATCCCCCCAAACGCCCCCCCCCCCCGCCAGCTCAGAAAAAACTGACTCCGTTTTTGAAATCACCGCTGTGATTACCCTATATAGCGACTTGGTAGAAATATCTCTAGACCTGACGAATCTAGCGACTTTTCCCAAACCGGTGGCAGCATGTGAGACGCCTGCTATCATAGTACCAAAAGCAGTACCTATATATCAATATTTCTTCACCAAGCTCCAGGTTGTTCAACTGTCTTGACCCAATGGCATCACCACCTGCAACCAAATCAAGAGCGTAGGTATATAATCAAGAAATCAAGAGCGTAGGTATATCAGTAGGCGGAACTATGGTCATGAGTACCCAAATTTAGGAACGTTCCCATTTTTGGGAACGGAGTTCCCAAATATGGGAACGGGCGTTCCCATTTATGGGAACGGAAGGCAATTTTTCGGCCGTTCGCCCACTAAAACTCAAAAGTGCATCACGTCTCAAAAAAGTGCACGCTGATTTAAGTATCTACTAAATCTCCATAAAGTTATCTTTAATCTGACCGTGGAACAAGGAAATTGACCGTGGAATGATATTTTTAATGATTTTTTAAAAATGACAGAATGGTTGAAATATGGGTTATACGACATTTAACATGCAATTTTAAGGAAAATGAAGCATTTTTTACATTTTGAGGTCAAGTATAATAATTTTCGCCTGGTTATGAAGTTTCATTCTAGCGACACCAGATGCTGACATACGCAAGCGAACACGCGGACAGTCCCGAGGTAATATTGTTGACTTTTGGTGTCGGGGCGATCGACCGCGTGGAACGTCAGTGATTTTACCGAACTACTGTTGTAAACTCAGTTTCAGTGGTTTAAAATCATTCAGCTGTATTTTATCAGCCCTGAAAGACATATTTTATTTGGATGCTAGCTGTTTAGCGTTGTTTTATAAGCAGCGTCATGAGCGTGGTTTTTGTCTTCGGCGTTTCTAAGCATGATCGTTTGGGGGGAATTTCTCTGATATAGGTCGCTCTGTGTGGCTTATTTATAATTTTTATGCTGATTTCGATCATTCCTCGTGCCCATCCTACCAGGCCTTTTGCCACTTACACTCATTAAGAAAGGAAAAAACTAGATTTTCATTGGGAATAGGTGTTTTGAGGGTGTAACATATTCAGCGTTCCCATTTTTGGATACTTCTTGTGCTCGTCAACTCTCGGTGATTAGCAGACAGGTGCTTGACATGTCTCCACCCTCGGCGCGGACGGTGGATATAGGTATGGAAGACCTTGTTGAACATCGCTGAGCGTAGTGGATTACGTAATCCTGCAGAGGGGGGCGTGCCCGCTGCGAGATCGACGGGAATAAAAGCGCAGAAGACCGGGCGAAACATGCAACGGTCTTGCCGGAAAGGTCATCTGATGATTGTTGCGTTACCAATAATTTGCGGCGTTGGACGTGATGCTTGTTAATGAAAAGAGCCCCTGAAAGGCGTCGGTGAAATCGTTCCCAATTTTGGGTACGCCGTTCCCATAATAAGGAACGCTTGCAGCGCCAGTGTACGAGAGCGTTCCCAAATTTGGGCTCGCGGCCCGGGTGATGGACTGCTTTAGAAATAGGGGAACGATTTGAAACTACGATGGGCCTTACAATATCAAACTCTTTCCCAACAATATTGAGACAACGATCAGGCGGTTCACGATCGTTTTATATTTTTTGGACGTCATTTAACGGTTCTTTTTCTTGTTTTAAATAATGCCTACATGGCGTTCCCATATTTGGGTTTATCGTTCCCAAACATGGGAACGAAAATGCGTTCCCGAAAATGGGTACGCTTGACCATAGTTCCGCCTACTGATATAGGGCCTTGATCAAGAGTCAATGACTTACTTACTTACTTACTTACTTACAGCTTCTCGAGATTTTGTCAGGCCAACTAGGCCTGTGGGTCTCGTTCTGACCAAGCTCATGGTAAGGATGCCAGGCTATCGGTCCTGTTCGGGGATGGCGAAGGCAAGGTCCGCCCAGTGACAGTCTAGGTTGGATTTAAATGTGTTGAGTGAGGGTGAGTTGACCACATAGGTTGGAAGGGAATTCCAGTCATTTACAATCCTTGAAGCAAATGCGTTTCTCCTGATCCTGGATTCGGCACGCAGCTTCTTCAACTTCCATTGGTGCCCTCTGGTGATACTTCCGGTTGCTTGGTCAAAGAAGATTTCTGGGTGAATGTCGATGCCAGCATGGAAGATCTGGTACGCCAGGATCATATCGCCTCTTCTACGACGATAATACAATGATGGCAGGTTCAGGAGCTGAAGTCTCTCTGTGTATGGTCTGTGTCTGATGTTTCGGACAAGCTTTGTAGCGCGCCTCTGTACACGCTCGACGAGGATTTGGTCCGCACGATTAAAAGGTCCCCATACTGCATTACCATATTCAAGATGTGGTCGCACCAAGGTTTTGAAGAGAATTGGTAGAGTTTCATGATCCAGTTTCTGAAAAGATCTCTTAATGACACCCATGATCTTGCTGGCCCTGGCAGTAGCTGCAGCTGCCTGTTTCCTAAACTTGAGTTCTTGGTCCATCAGGACACCCAGATCCTTCTCCAGAGGAGTTGCTACAAGAATCCTGTCCCGCATTTTGTATGTTTGGAGAGGATTTCCAGATCCTATGTGGAGTACCTTGCATTTCGACTCGTTAAACGGCAGCTGCCACTTCTCGGACCATGCCAGAATGCTGTTAATATCCTCTTGAAGTTTGCTCCTCTCAACTGACGCCTGGTAGATTTTAGTATCATCGGCAAAAATTTTCATCGGGCACTCAGTCACATCAGGCACTGAGTGACTGAGACTTGAAGCTTGCGTAGAGAAGTCTATAAAAACAAATGGTATATACTAGTGCTGTCAACAGAAAATTGGAATACCCGACACCATAACCTTTAGCATACCTTTTACTTACTTTAGATAACCTTAAGCATCATAGTGCCTGTATGTCGATGTTAAGCATTCAATAGCATTTTGAAGCTAACCACATCACAAATGCAAAATGCTAGGGCCCTAGCATTAGAGAGAAAAAATATATTAAACCCCTAGAGAAAAAACCATCGCATTCACCGACATCTCCTGTCCACCACTCCCAAACGTTCTTACCTGTATTGGTATGATGATGAACGGCCTTGCAAAAATTAGGCTTGTGAAATCCAAGCCCGAGTGTTTATTAATGCGGTTGAATAACCTCCAAGATAATCTCTAATATCTATATACAATATGACCTCTAAACTCCTTCAAGCACGTTCAAGTGATTGCGCAAACGTGAAGGACAAATGTGAAGTTACCGAAGTTACGCCACGTGCTGTTCCACAAAATGCTTTATGTTCGACAGAAGCGACTAGCTGTCGCCTGCACGGATCGCATTACTGGTAATGAAAACCCTGTGCATGTTGCCTGGCAACTTGCACGTTTATAGCTGCTCACAGCAGCTCGCCGAACAGCAGACTGATTATGTGTGCCATGGAGGAGCAGTAAAAAGAACTGCCGTCTTTTACTGTATATATTTTTTACTTTTCGAAATATTATTCTCATTTAGATGTCCACTTGGAAGGACTGTTTTGCACATTTCTGCATAATGAATTCAAAGCCGCCAAGAGTTACTATCATTTTAACATCTTTGTAATGCATTTTACATGGCAGACGGACAAGCATGCTAATATTTTATTGGTCGTTAAAGAGAAATAAATTGCAATATCATGTCATAATGAAACTGTCAACAATTAAAGAAAATAAAAATTCTGGCAGGGTACTGTGATTTGGTAGAAAACTGAATAGCTTGAGCTGATTGCAATAGCTCTACAACACTACTATTGCAGTGCTTTAATAGCAAAATGAAAAAACTGCCTTGAATCAATACATTAATGGCGCTTATCAGACAAAATATGATTCATCAATACCACATCAATACACTGAACTCTATAATGATCAATAGCAGCTGCATCCCGCTGCATCCACCACCGACGGAAAGACGGAAAAGTACGGGGAGTCCCCGCCGAGATTCTGGTCCCCGCAGATCCAAGGCCGCAGGCTCACTCTTATACGGCCTTGGGCCCACTTCATAACATTTTTTTTCATGACTTAGGGCCTGTTCAAGGCTATATAAACCAGGTAGAACGCTCCGGGAAAAAAGTTGGAAACAATAAATTAGTTGCGGCATTCCCTGATGACGCGAATGTGGGTCAGCGGCCGGCGGCCGGCCGCCGCTAACACTGTATGAGGAGGGATGCGCGGAACTTTTGCTTGTTGGTGATTGCGTTAGGCAGTTAAATGGTAATGTTAGGATATGTTTCGAAAGTAAATTGAACGACGCTTCGAACGCCGTCAATGAATTTGCGATACGACGACTATTTGTTTAGTTAGAGCCGGCGAACTTTTACCTTCCGACCGCGCGCGGAGGCGATATGGTGCCACACTGGCGGTTTTTACGATAGCTCAAAATTCTTTTGAGATAAAGAGATGAAATTCGACATGTCCTATCTTTTGATCAAGCTGGATCTTATGGTACAAGTCGCATATTTAAGGTAGGTCAGGTTGTTGACCTATGTTGTCGCTCGTGATCCTCTGCACAGTCAAAAAACAACGCAATTTCTGAACACTCAGTGCCAAGAAATCCTTCACAAAAAGATGACACTTGGCAGAAAGAAGATTTGTCGGTTTCTTACCGTTCGTATGTGTCGTGTTTTCACAAGAGTTTAGTAAGGTCAGGTCCGTCACGTGACCTCCCCTCATACCTGAATAGGTTTACTATCATAGAAGCGTTTATCAATCGCCGGAAATCTTAGCCAATCCCACTGGACACTGGATCCATACCCACATGGGGCCCTCCTGACTGGCCACTCCCTCTGAAATCCACAATAACATTGGGCTGCGGCCACGGTTATGTATTAATGCTTTTCACTAACAGAAATACAACTTCAACCAGCACAGTGCACGCCGCCACAACAGTCCGACCCACGTCCCTGATATCGACTAGCTCCCGGCCGGATGCACATACGCGGAGCCAATCAGTCCGAATGTGACCTGCAGCTTACAATTGCTGTGTCGCATGGCGCATGGCACAGGACGATTCCTAGCAGCTGTCGGCTGGAGTGGAGAAACAGCACGTTGCGACACACCGCGCCGGCGACAGAGCTAAGCAGGGCTGGTTGGAGGCTGGAGCCGGAGGTAAGGGCGGACACAGGCACAGACATTGCAGGACAAAGAACAGGATGTCAGTTAGGGATATAATTCAAGACGAATGATTCAAGACGGACTGAAATAATACACATTTTGCTCACTTGGATACCAACTTCAAACTTGACGTTTATGTATAGCACCATGGAAACAATGGGCACACAGGAAAGAAACAAAAGATGAGGGTTTTGTAACTCAAGGAAGTAAAACAGCCCGAAGTGCAGACAAGCACATACTTTTGGTAATAGCTATCAGCTGTCCTACTCCTCTTCTCCCTTCATCAACTACTGGACACATTTGAAGCATCATATATAGCACCAATGTCCATAACCAAAGCTTGCAAGTAGTTTTAACTTCTATGAAGCCAAGGGAAATGTGCCTACATTATGCATGTAAACTCAAAATTACACATGCATGACAAAGGAGGCTTATGTAAAGAGAATAGTTGACAAAAGCATCTCATGGTTAAAATTATTCAAAACTGCACACAGGGCAAACATAAAAAGCAGCAAGTGTACTGTTCTGTTATGCTAAGAAATAGTCCAAAACAAAATACAATCTTTTCATGTTTGAACTGGTTGTTCTTCTATGCCCCTTCATCCATATCTTGATTACAGATGGGCTGTTGCTGTAGGCTGATGAAGTGACACTTGATTGCCTTTGTGCGAGTTTCAGTTGCAGCCTTCTTGGTACTGCACTGGAAAGCAGATTGAATTGAATGCCTCTGAAAGATAGGAATACAGGCAAAGTTAGCTGTAGTAGTGTCAATGATAATAGACATGACATTTTTGTCCTTTGACATACATTTGTTGAAGTACAAAAAGGTACAAAATAAATTGGTTTGTTTCAAGACACGCACACTGCACAAAGCCGCACAGACATTACACAGGCATACGAAATTGGTACCCATAAAAATTGATGATTGAAAAGGTCAAAGCTTGCAATAATAATTGAAGTAAAAGTTACAATCACAATCATTTGAATTAAAATGACTTGGCATAAGTCACAAGACGCAGCGCTTCTATTCTTTTATGCTTTCATTATCCTCCACATATCAACCAGCTTGATGCCAGGCTGTGCAATAGTGTGTACATAACCCCATGTTGCCATTTTATTAGAGCAAGTGGGGTTACAACAACAATGCTAATGTCAAACCCACATCTGCAACCCGTACTGCAGTTTCAATCACCTTACAATTGCACACCTTCTGGCAGTTTGATGGGCAGGGCAGAATGGTCATTACTACTTTCTCCTCACATTCAACACATATTCCCTTTATACAGAGACAGTTTAGACCTGGTTATGGCAAGCATTTTCGAGAAAAGATATGATTAAAGTCCAAGACAAAGGTCGAGAGAAACAACACCAACATAAAACACCGACTATGTAGCACTAATAGTGTCAAATTAATAAAAATATATACATGAGTCGATCAGAAATTCACTGTAGATTTCGAAAATGGTGTCAAATGCCACTCAAATACCCCCATTCGCATGTACGAAGCAATAAAACACTGACCTTCAATCCCGCGTGCCATTCTCCATAGGCCACTGTGTATTAAATAACGCGTTCACTGATAGCAAAAAAAGAGACCCACATATGACGCGTTTGCTACCAGCCAATCAGCGCCCGAGTTACCGAGCGCTGATTGGTGGAGAGGGCCGTCGTCAGCAGCTAATTACGCGTTGTTTTCCTTGAACATGTGCGTGAGCGCTGATGCTGCTCACGGGCTGTTGCCATTTTTCGTAATGCTGAAGGCACGGGAGCGAACCCCCCCATTCAATCTTTATACCACAATATTGATATTCTGGCTGGTCTGCACTCGCCACTCTGACCTGACTCTGCATTTCATTTTTCATGTCATTGTCAAATGTCATCCATCTATAACTTTAGATTTTAAGCAATGTTGATACTATCATATCTTGATCTGTAGGTATCTATTCGTGCTTCACTATCCATCCATCATGCATCAAACAAATATGTTTTCAGGTCTGCAATAATGTCATTGTCTGGCAAGACACCAGTGCAGGTCATTGATGAGAGTGTACTGTATGAGGAGTTGGAAAACTGCAGCTGCTTCAAGTTCATCGCCTTCAAAGAGCTGCGGATGCCCTTCAGACATACTGGTTTCCTGTTGTTTTTTGATAATGTCCCCAAATACACCATTAATGTCAGGACAGGTAAGTATTGTTGACATTTATTTTTTATAGATAATTATTGAAAATGTTTGTAAGGCTGAGCTGCAATGTGCATGACCATCCTAATCCAGGAATTACAATGAGGAAATGATGTGACCTTACCAAACATCCAAACCTTATATCCAGATGTAAGCATGGCAAAGGTGAAAGGGGTCAGTGAGACACACTAGCTAGTCTCTGTATCCCATACCAATCACTAACAAGGCTAGGAACTTCGCTAACGCACCGAGCGAAAACAATTGAGGAACGCTATTCCAGGAACGCACTAACCGCGGCCGGAGGAACGCAGGAACGCTAACGCACTACCGAAAATCGAGGAACGCGCCCAGCTCTGCTAAGATATATCCTTCTATGATCCTTCCCACTCTCGAGCGCTGCTGTGTGGGGGCGGCATCTGATGGCGGCCCGTGGCCGGCCGGTGCGGTGGCGCCACCTACTGCTGGATGTAGTGGCGCCCCCTCTCCGTTCCTGGAGCAGATAATGACATGTTCAAAACACTGACCGCCTCCGTCTGCCGCTCCGCTGCCGCCCCTTCAGTTCCTGCTGAGTATCTAAAATATTGTCACACTTGTGCCCGAACATGGTTAAATTTTTGTTTACTTTTACTTTCTTTGCTTACTTTTTGCGCGGTCTGTGGTTGGTGTGGACAATTTATTTGGTATAAAATGTCAGCTGGCGGGTGTTATATACCTAGGTGCCTATACAGAATTGGTTCGCGATTATGTGTGAAGAGAATGTGAATTAGAAATGTTATTGATGAAACCCGGGTCACACTGGGCAGTTTTCGCTTTTTTATTTTTGCTCTGCAGTCTCTTATGTTCCTCTAGCGTGACTGGACGTCCCGAATTGAAACATAGCGTGGATTATTAGAGTGACAGCCGAATAAGAGGAGTCATGGGTGCAATAATCGTTTAAGCAACCTGTATGTGAGTGAAATAAATACATTTATGAAAAAAAAAAACAAGGCTAGGAACTTATACTAGCTTGGACCAACAGGCTGGAAATCTGCACCAGCCTGCACTGAAGAAGACCAAGGCCCGTAACT